AAACCATTTTATAGACCAGCAACGCAGTTAATAGAATAGCTTACAACCTTGGGAATTTCTTTAGTGATTTCCCGGGCTTGCAGTCAGATGGTGGAATGAAACGTTCTGGGTCGACTCCACCCATGACATCGAAGAAACTTAAGAACCAAAAATAGAAAATGTTAATAAGATGCAAGAATTAGCTTAAAACAGCATGCTGCTGTAGCTTAAATATGAATTTTACCTGGAGTGGATTGACCCGGTTTCTTTGCTGTATGCGATGGAACTGACAGGAATACAACCTTCTGATGTCACGGTTGCCACGTAATACACTAGTGAATAAGGAACACAATTAAAATATCTGCTAAGGCCGATTTACACGACGATGTCATGCAGGATTTTGTGGTTCAAAAGCTTGAGACATATTGGAGGCATCTGGCCTCTAAAAGGTGCAGTTGTCCTTGTTTTCTAGGATGTCAGCAATGTGATATCAAGTACTAAACTGCGTTGTCCGATGATTTACTTTTGCGCATGCTCAGTGTTATATAATTTACGAGCTTATCCCACATGGCAAAGAGTCTCTTCTTTGATCCTTTCAATTAAAAGTAACTGGCTTTGCATAACATTATAGATGGATTTTCTTTGGAATACCAAAAAAGGTCAAAGAGCCGAGGGTCTAGCATTTAAGCTACAAAGTCGGTTTGTTACTATTTTGAAGTGCCAGAACTATACAGAAGAGATAAGTACAATAAGTAATGAGAGATTGGGTAGAATTCATCAATTAAATGACAGCTGACTTACTTGTCACATCACGTTCCTTTTCCTCCCAATAAAAGGTATTGACAAGAACCCCGGTGTCGGGGATGCTTCCTCCGATATATGCCTCCATGGCAAACTTCGCATCACGTGGSACTTGGGCTGGTCTGAAAGGCTCGTGAAACTCATGAACAGTGCACTCTCCAGTCCYATTGACGCTCAGCTCGATGCGGTACACCACAGCCTGGTAAAACGATCCAAATTAATGAGTAACGAGGTCGTATCGCCTGGTGTTTTTAATGCATGTCAGGTGTGGTAGGACTATTTTTTAGCAACGGGATTCTTTCGTATCGCTCCGCTATATTTTAGGGTTTTTTTGAGAAATTTCCAACCACCAGCACAGCCCTACTGATAATGTACAGGGGTGAGTCTACCTTTCTTCCAACCTCCCTGGGACTGCAAACATCTCGGCCTACCTCTCKATAAAGGACGATGTAGTCATAGAAAGATTTCTTGCCAGACACGTCAACTTCTTCTATGACGCGAAGACGTTGGTTGATCGCGTCATAAGAAACCTTGCCAAGAATTGAAAAATTCTTGCTTCGATCGTACTGCAAGTGCAAGCATATTCGTTGTGAGACTTGCGTGACAATGCATTGTGATAAAAGTACCTTAGAATTTTTAAATTAAATGCCCCAGAATGCTTAAATAAGGTTGGTAACGACATCATTGCAGTATGACGTCAGCAGACAAGTAACAAATGCAGCAAAATAAGCGCAAGTAGTCTGTTGCGTGGCCGATAGATCGGATTTCGTATGTATGTGCTGCGACCGTACCGTGACGGCGGAGTATTGGCGTTACAATCAGACGAGGTTGCGCGACCGCCATCATCGTGACGAAATCCGATCTATTTCAGAAGCGAAATATCGGTCGTTTTTTTCACATATTCACCTGAAACATGCGCCCAGTCCATTCTGGTGGAGTTTCTGAAATTAAAAGAAAGAAAAAGATAAATAATACCGTCAATAATTCAAGTAGATTTGTCACACAATACGAGCACTATTAAGTACCACCCCCAGGGATTGGAGTCATGAATACGACCCAAAGTAGAATTTGATGCAGTAAGTTCTTGTAAAACAAGATGAAATACAAAACATAAAGTTCTTTTAGCAATACAGTGCTGTTTATACTTCGATGTTTAGTACAGTAAAGCACTGACGTTTCATAAATTGCAAGATTCTGATTCCATATTGAAAGGAAAGGTGAATTTTTATTGAAAAATAAAATTCAAATTTCAATGACAAAAGTTAGCAGCCAACTTTATACAAAATTGYTGCAATWWWAAAAATCATTTCGAGRTTTCCMAAGCTGAGATGGAAATCACCCGGAAATCATTTTCACCGAGAGCAATGATTATATCGCTATTATAAATACAAGAAAAAGTTGTATAACATGAGCTTACCACAAGGTTCAGGACGTTGTGCAGAGGCAAGAGCCAAAACAGCGAAGATAGAAGCCAAGAAGTACATCTTTACGTGCATCAATCGCAAAGAAACACACTAAATGTGCCGAGTCTTGCACTTTGTCGTACCAGGTACGTACGTCTTGTCTCGTGACATTCTCTTTCGACTTTATTGGTACATTACGTAAGGCACTCGAAAAAGTGTATGAGATCGTGCCACTTCGGTTTACGTATTCGATTACACAGTGGTKTGAGTCAACATTTCTTTATATTTGACCTCCAATTGTCGCATGACATTCTGTATTAAATAGCATTCTGTTTCCAGCACGTATGTTTTGAGTTCCATGCATGTACACTATGCTGAGATTCGAAAAAAATAATAAAATTTCTACAAGGAGATTTCTCAGATTTCGATGAAAAAGGAATCGTATTTTTCTACATGCAAAATCTAAATGTATGTAATGAAAATTTGAATTAAGACCCAGAATCAATTTTGGGTCCAAGAGTCCAGGGTCCACGGATGCAGTCCATGTTTAGGAACGCCTTACTACTTAGGCTCAATAAATGCAATAAAAACTTTTCGAAGGCTTAATTAGCTTTGATAGAGTATTAATCGGAATAAAGGTCCAGTATTTAACTTTTCCCACGGTCTATACTCCAAAATTCGAGGTCAGTAAATTTGCAGACGGTTAAAATGACGGTCTATACTCCAAAATTCGAGGTAAATTTGCAGACGGTTAAAATGACTGGGGATAATCGGATAAAGTACATGAGAGTAAGTAAATTGACTCCCCCTGTTCACCCATTGTTTGATAATAATAATAACATTAATAATTAAAAAAATAATAATCATACAGCAATATGCACAAATTAAGATTTTTTTGACTCTTATTTCAAGTATATATAAAATAGATCAGAAATTATAGAACATCATCGCCAATATTTTTTTTTCAGAAAGTACTAGTCTAAGTAGGCAACTTCAAAAAGATATCAGCGATGATATCCCGTAATTTCTGATAGATTTCATATATACTTGAAATAGGAGTCGAAAAGATCATAATTTCTGCATATTCCTGTAATATCAAATAGGAAAATAAATAAAAATGAATACTTACACTAAAATCTAACAGTACCTTTCATGCAAAACAAAACAAACAAAAACAAGTTTTTYCAAGAATTATCTAAAGAATATATATTTATTTCAACGGCAACAAATACTTTTAAAACAATCTCTAATTCTCACGCGTGAGCCATAGTTACGTAAAAGCACACGTTAGATCTTTTACGGTTACGTATAAGGATACCTCGCAAAACGCAAGAATAACGTACGGAAATACTTGCGGATATATCAATTAATTCACGCAATTTTTCCGAATTATCTAAAGAATACATATTTATTGTAACGGCAACAAATACTAAACAATCACTAATTCAGCACCAATATTTCTTGATATTTTTTTCGGTGAAAAATCCTGACTTTCTCAATATATGCAAATAAAATATAATAGATAATTTGATTGTAAGCACGGCTAAATCCSGATGATAATTTCAATGCTTTGGACTGATTAAGTTTATGTTTATATTAAAAATGCTCTGAATTCTTTCTATTTTTGAATTTCTCATCTTCACTTCCTACCTTCTATTTAGCCTTAGTTATTATACATAATATACATTTTCATCTTCTACATTCCCTCATTT